GTAAATTAACAACTGTACATATACTTATCAATAAGTTTATATAGATTCACTTAGCTGAAAATTCACTTATTGATAGGTGTATGTATAGCGTATATGTATATATTTAATCTTTTTGTATAGTAATTTTTATATATAGTTAAGTTTTATTTTCGTATGAAAAATTTGTGTTTTATATAAATACTAATTATTATGACAAGAAAATAATATTTGAGTTTTTTTTAATGCTAAATTGCATGCATTTAGATATGAAGATACTAAGTAATAATCTTGATATTGGATCAGAGGGTGCGGCCGAAGCCAAAAGGACTTCTAGTCTATCAACCTAAAGTATCCAAGTCATATTTGATGATACCCTGTAGAATATTTTAAAAAATACAAATAAAAATTATAAATTTCAATTAAATAATTTATTTTCTTTTTTCAATATAATAAAGTGTTTTGTAGGCACCCCTCTGGGGCTCTTCGTACATCCTTTGAATATACATATTGCCTTTTGTTAGACCTATCTTATGATACCAAGTTGTATGTATTTCGATAACAATTGACCAAGTTATGACGTTTTATATAGGGGAAATATAAAACGTCATAACTTGGTCAAATATACATAAATATATAAGGAAAGTCGGGTAGCCCCGGACACTTAAGGAAAATATAGATTGTGCACACGTGCTAACAGAAAAAAAAGTGTCGAAAGACTTTTTTATATAGGGGAAATATAAAACGTCATAACTTGGTCAAATATATATATATATATAGAGAGAGAGGAAAGTCGGGTAGCCCCGGACACTTAAGGAAAATATAGATTGTGCACACGTGCTAACAGAAAAAAAAGTGTTGAAAGACTTTTTTTAAAAGTTCAAACATTCATTTATCGAATTAGAAACAAAAAAATTATTATTGTGTATCTTAATAATATACAAAACGTAAAAGAAAAAATGTTAGAAAAAAGCCATATTTCAAAATTGGAGGGTAGCCCCGGACACATAGTTTAACCATGATTTTACCTCTTTTTTACCAGTGTGACACAAATGTAATATATATAATTTAACATTGGACTGTTCTCGACACATTTTTAAAAAAATCACCTATAAAAATTGCCTCTGATATATAAGGAATGAAAATGAAAATGTCATCATTTAAAAATATAAACATAAACATTTTTATAATGAAAATAAACACTTTAAAAACACTTTTTTCAAATCTAATGTTTTTTTATTAAAATTAAATAAATTACTGTTATAGGTTTGTGTATTATATTGAATGTATTAATATTTATATAAAAAAGTTGTTTACTAATAATATGAAAACGAATTAAGCTGTCCGGAGACACCCTCTAAACATGTATCCGATACCACCCGATCATACCTCATTCACAAATACTACTTTTAAAACCAGTGAATTAAACTTTTTAACGAATTTTTATTTTAATAACTATTGTTAATAAAAATATATTTTTAATAATTAAAAAGTTATTAGTTTACATAAAAGGAAGGTATATCAATATGTGAATCAAATATGATGATACGTCGCTCTTCTGGTGGTGGGAAACAAAAACTTGCCCTCCCAGTCATTCGCTTCGGCATTCTATGATATTTTACATATACCATATTTTCATTCAAATAATGTTATTCTATTATTAAAAGTCACATAGCTTCATTTGTTTAAGCTGTACATAAAGTGTCTGGAGTTACCCGCCGTCCGGGGCTACCCGAATTTCCTCTATATATCAGTGGCGGATTAAGACTTCTTAGGGCCCGGGGCTATTTTTGTTTTTTGGAGGCCTTTTTCAAAATTAAGAAATACATAATTATATACCTAAAATATATAATAATAATCACCAGATATACATAAATATAACAAGACATTGATATATACTCTTAGCTTTAAATTTTAACCAAAACGTCATTTATAAAAAATTAAATGAAAAAATACGAAATTTAAATTCCAACGTAACAAAACAAAATTATTTCTATTCAAGTTTTAAATGAACGCATTCAAGTGTGACGATTGTAATTATTGTTATTCGTAATTACCTAACTTTAATAAATATTAAAAGTATGCGGTTGTGCCTCCTGTGCGTCTACGCGGTTCTGCCCCAATAGACAGTTTTTAGAAAGAATACAATTTCATAGCTTGGTTTAGGTTATGTTGATTTCAAAAATGGTTTTTACTTGATAAAATAACGCTGAAAACACATATCTTTAACACTAAAATTAAATATTGCTTTATCCTCAAAATAAAAAAATAAAAAAGATTGTAAATATAATATTCTTATCAATATAAGAATATTATATCTACATCATATTTTTCCAGACTCCATCAGTGAGCTATTGTGTTGCCTAAGGTTAGCCCTCCATTTCTGGATTCTTTCCTTTACTTGATAGTTCATGTAAAAGTAATAATTTTGTATTAGCTTTTTTTGTTGTTGTTATTTTGAATTTTTTTTTTTAATTTTAATATTTATAATAATGTGCAGTTAAGCATAGAGATTAAAATATATAACCTTACAGCACCAGATTTTTTACCACCAAAAGCAAAAGCATTTTCTAAATCATTTTGAAGCAGAATTTTTTCAAAAGAGTTCAAAACTTTACCAGTTTCAAATGAAAAATTAGCGACCAAATGAAGTTTACAGAAAAAAGTACCCATGTCCTTCGTATCATCTTCGCCCCTAAATTTGCAGGGCCCAGGGCTATAGTCCCCATAGCCCCCTTGATCCGGCACCGTATATTAGTAAACCTCTGAACTTATAACATCTTTCATATTGTATTCATTAACATAGTTGGTTTTATTTTGCAAAATAATTTTTATATTACTCCCTTTTTTTCGGAGTTTTATTTTCTCACTTTGTAATTCAAAAATGTTTATATTGAAATTTTCAAGAATTGAAATATCTGTTATTTTATTTTTTAATTGCGATATTTTATACTTTGTTTTTTTTATTTTTAAACGAACTTACTTTATTATTTTTTATTTTTAGCTGAGTATCATGATGTTTTATTTTTTTATTTAAATTTCTAACAATAAATTTTTTTTTGACTTATATTTCTAATTTGTTTTCAATAATATTAAGCTTTTCTTCTTGAGAAATTGAGCTTCGATCAGAGAATATTTTGAAATAAGCATGTTTAGATTGTTTAACGTATCTTCATAATCTCTTAGATGTGTAAAATAATCCATTTTAGTCAGCTCTGAGTTCTTATGATATTTGATATGATATTTCTATGATATTTCAAAGGCCGACGACACGGGTTTCAAAGTCGAGGGGCACAACCGTAAATTAAAAGTCCTATATATCTAGAATTTTCTCTTTTTCTTTTAAAAGAAAATAAGGTCCTTTAGAAAAAAAAGGCCGACGAAGGAAGAGTAAAGGTTGGGGGGGGGGGGGGGCACCGGGACAGTTTCCCAGACAATTCCCGAGCGGCAGATATCCAAGGGGCACCAAATGAAATAAAGGTACCTAAAAAAAATATATATATATTTATAGTGAAAATAATATATAAATATAGTGAAAATTTGATAAAAAAGGGCGCCAATCAGGATTGCTGTCCCTGGAGGCGTAACAGCTCTCGGCGGCCCTGGGCCCTCCTTCATTCTTCCCTCGTCGGCTCTGATTTTTTATGATATTTCTCTCTACTATACAAAATATAGAGTATGTTAATATAATAAAAGAGTATAAATGTAAGAATATATTTAATAATATTTTTTAAAACTTTTAATTTTTTTAATGAAAATCTAAGGGTAAAAATAAAACTTAATAATTAGTTAAGACTCAAAATGAATTAACTTTTTAATTTTTTAATACGCTATATAGGAATATCAGAGTTTAGAGAAAATTGATAGGTTACGTCGTATTTGAATAAAATATGTTCATTATTAACAGTCATAAAAATTTGTTTGTTAAAATTTGAGCAAAAACTTAAAAACAATATTAGTTGTTTAATTTAAAAAATAATTATCAAACTCATTCATTTAAGTTTTAATTAAAAAATTTTTTTCTTTTAATTGTCGCTCGCCTGTCAGTACGATTCCCAAAATTTTCATATTCAATAACATTATTCGTAGATAAAAAATAAGTACGATAAAAAAAACAGATATGATAAAAAATAAGTACGATAAAAAAAATGTTGTCGACGGTTAAATAAAACAACGGCATAGAAACATTCAAAAAAAAAGTTCATAAAATCAGATATACTATAAAAAATCTAATCCATTATCAAAATCATTTTATTTTTTTATGATCTGTTTAAAACTTCTATTCTTTTTTATGATAATAATAAAATCCCAACAATAAATCGAAAAAAATCGTTAACACCAATGACCCGCGCCAATATTCTGCCATAAAAAGCGGGCGGCTTGCATGTCCCTTTGTAGATAATTTTCCTAACGCTAGTTCTTATTTTAACGTCATGTGAATTTAACAATTCCGTATCAAAGGATTAAATATAAAACATTGCCGTTCAATTACAATAATAAAATCGACCTGAATAAAAAATGTCGCTTCACCTAAAATTAATTTTAGTGAAAGTAAACTGAATTTATACCAAAAATTATACCAAAAAGAAAGCTTGATCCTGATACCCTTCATGAACTAGTAGGCTTTTGAAGGAAGGGGTATTATGATAACTAGATGACTTGATTTTATCAAGATTATCCTGATTATAAGATACCTTTGGTCGAAAATCAGTGCATTTTAAAAGTTTAGAATTTTTAAAACCTAGAATAAAGTCTGAAAATCAGATAATCCTGATAAATCAGGACATCTGGTTTTTCTACTTTCTAACAAGTCAACATTTTGCATGATTTTATCACGCAAAATATTTGATAATCTCTGGTTTAACCAGTGGTTATCAAATATTTTGTTGTTATAAATTCAATTACCCAATTACATTAGGTAATATGGTAATAAACAATATTGGTAAATTTGTTTATGTAACTTCAATGTCTGTATACCTAAAAAATTATATTACACTTTTGTTGATCTTGTATAATTATTTATTTTTAGCTAAACCTTTATGTAATGAGTAAATGTAACAGGTTTACAAACCCTCTGTAAAATATGATTGGCTTCACCAATGTAGTTTGCTAAATTTTAAGAAAAGTAACTCTGAGAAGGTAAATTTGATTTTATAATGATTTTTTTTTAAATATGCTTATTTGCCTCAACAAAGCCAAATGTAATTGCTATGAAGGAAAAAAATAATTTATATAATTGTTTTCGCACTATTTTACTCTGAAACTAAATTTTGAGATTTTTTGAAAATTTTTTTGTAGCTGTAAACTAGTAAAAATAAACCAGTTATTTTCAATAAATACAACTTTAAATTAAAAGAAATAAAGTTGATAACTGTGATTAGAAACGATAAATAACATTAATCTAAAGAATTAATTTCTTAAAAAGTACCAAAAGAACTTTTAAGAAAGTAATTCTTTTCAATGATTAAACAACAAACTTCAAAAGGTGTGTCATTGTGGAATTTTTTTGACAAATAATTTGTGTTTAAAACGCTATACTCCCAGGTGCTTAATACAAAGTGGGTGGGATTTCTAGTTTAAATTTAATAAACAAGGTGGGGCATGGCCTACTATATTTACATGGCTAGATTTATAGGTTTTTATAGCCGAAAAGGAGAAGGCCAGTTTTTTTTATTACTGTAAAATTGCTTATTTATTGGTTTTATTATGAGTTTACTTATAAGTAACTTATTAATGATTTTTTTTTTTAAATTAGAATTTATTTAAACATAATTATTATGTTTAAATATAATATATATTATAATAGTAATATAAATATGACAATAGCAAGAAGATAAATAATATTTATCTTGTTGTTATTGAGGTATTAGTATGTCTATTGGGCTTTATAAAATAAGAAATAAATTTGTATTTATCTCTATACTTCTTAATACTTACAATGCCAAACAAGTGATATATTGTAGGCATGGATACCAAAGCATAACATCAAACATAAAAGGTAATCCTTCAAAGTTGACTTCAAAAACTTCTAAAAATAAAACAGTGGTTTTTACCTTTCCTGATGCTATAAAAAGGCCTTTGCTACAAAAAAATGAATTAAATTTGTTAATAAAAAGAATTGTTTCCAACAGAGCATTCAGGTGTTTGTAGTGCCTATATTGATCCAAAATTTTAAAAGCATGGTGTTAGATTGACTCTTATTTATAATCTTGATCAAATACCAATTATTTCAGCAATACAATACAAAAATTTCCAATTTTTATGTTATTGTCTATTTCAGATCTACCAAGAAAATCTCCTACTAGATATTCACAATCATTTAATAAGAGTTAGATATTTTTATAAAAAGGATTTAATATAAATAATGTTAAATTTATTTAAAAGTTCTTTTAACCTAAAAACTATTAAATTATTTTTGGAAGAAGGAAAAGTAGATTTGATTGTATTTTAATGTTGGATGAAATGTTCTTACAGAAATGTAGGGAGTATTGCAGTGGTAGATAAACTATAGTATAAGTGTATAGATAAACTTTGTGAAATTGTAAATATTTTTAAAGTATCTTTGTTTTTATGATGGTAAGCTTAAAAAAATATATTCCTTATGTCATAAAGTCTTGTCCACAAACTGAAATCAATGGAGATACAATATTCCTTCAATTTTTAGAAAGTTAATTAGTTTTAAAATTTTCCAGATTTAATGTACATACAATAGTTGCTGACTATCATTTGGTAAGTGTATCAGGGCATAGCTGTTAATTAAATGGTTTGGAACTTGTAAGCAAAAAAAAGTTTACTTTATGCATGACAGTGTTCGTCTCTTAAAAAAATATTTTAAGTTGTCTTCTTAATTCAAAGCGCTTTTTATTCACTCCTTTACATTCATAAGTTTATTAAATGGATGAAAACAATTTACATAAAACAAATAATCTCTTTCTTTTTACTTTACATTCAGAGTTTCATTTTACTTTGCATTCAAGAAATGTTAAGCTAAGTGTTCCTCTTGCTTTTAATATTATTCGTGAAAATATATTAGCTTCATATGAAAGTTATTTTCCATACCTATATATTATTGCCGAACTTAATAGTGTTGGCAGTAGTAGTGCCCCTAAGTTAAAAGTAATATTAGAACATATTAAAACACATATCAAGTTTTTTATAAAACATGTATCAAGTTTTACAGTTTGACTTTCTCTTGAAAACTGCATTGCGGCAACATCTGCTTAATTTTGATCTATAGCATTTATTTATGTTAAAAAAATTATTATATGATTTTAAAAATTTTCGTTTATCAATGTGGCAGCATGGCCGAGCTGTGGTTCGAGTCCTACATGTGACTTTTTTTTTTAATTTTTTTTCGATTATTTTAAAACACAAAATACTTTTGAAGATTTATAGAGATTATTTACAAATATATGTAATGATATAAAAAAAAAAGACTAACAAAAAGGTTTTTTAAAATTTCTCAGGTAATTAGTCCTAATAAGCTGCGGATGGTCTGAAAAAAAAATTGTCTGAAACTTAATAAAGAAAAAATTTATTAGTACAGTTCTGCTACTCCAGAAGGTCCTGCTGTGGAGGCAAAAAAAAAAAAAAAAAAAGCCCGTAGCTAGAAAAAACTTTAAAACTTTATTTTGACAATTAAAAGTTTTTTTTTGCTTCATTTATCTTTTTACTATAATTATAAGGGTGGTAAAACAAATATATTGAAATGAAATAAACGCTAAATTTAAAAGCTCTTATCAAAAGAAACTAAACCAAAAAAATTAAAAGTAATTGCATTTCAATGAAAATTGAAATTCATTAGTTAAATTTAGTTCAATAAATCCTAAAAATTTTAAGTATAGTATATTGGCGTTTGCAAAGAAACATAAATCATTTTTTAATATTAACTAATTTTTTTTTCAACATTATTGTATAGGCAGGTTTGGCGCTTAACCATCCCTATATAAACAATATATATATAAACAAATATGTTATTTGTTTGTATATATTGTTTATAAAATGTAAAAAATATACTTATGTAATGTTTTATTCAAGATTATATATAATATAAGTAAACTTTTCTAATAATTACGAGTTTTGTTCAGGCTGTTTTGATTTGATTTTTTGTATGTATGTTAGTATATTTAAAAAAATTTATAAGATTGAAAAAACATGAAGCATTGTCTTATCCAAGTGGAAAATTTAAAAATTAAAATTTTAGATTCGCCCCTCTCTTGATAATTTCTGATTGCTAAAACTACGTCATCTGCTTCTTAGACCATTAAAAATAATAGACGTAGCTTTTTCGTAAATCATTGAAGCCACATTTTTTTTGCATATGTGATGTCACTTCACCGCAAAAAAACTAGAAAAGCAAACTAGAAATAAAATTTTATAAAAATGTCTTAGGAAAACTCTTTCTATTAAAGATATATGGAATATATTAAAAAACAACACTGATAACAGCCCACTTAACCAATGAATGAAATGTGTTTAGCAGAAAAAGAAACCTAATTATAAGTCTTTTATAAGGTCATCTTTAGAGGGGGATTGCAGTAACCTAAAAAACATCTTGCATCATTTGTATCACATAGCTTTACAAAACTATATTTTACTGAATAAAATTTGTTTTTAAATGCTAATAATATCAGATATGCTTATAGAAAGCTCCTAAATTGTAAAAGTGAAACAACCTTCTTGTGTGATCAATATTTTATATATATATATATACATATATATATATATATATATATATATATATATATATATATATATATATATATATATATATATATATATATATATATATAATATTTAATATGTTTAATATTTATTATTAATATAATTATAAATATATACTTTAACAATAAGCAAATTATTATCAGTGGCAGAAAAAGAACAGATAAGGTTGTTATTTTTAAATCTAAAAAAAACTAAAAGAAGGCATTTAGATTAGCTATCTGTTGTTGTTATTTTTTTATATTTTAAAATTGATTGTGATTTTTTTAAACGTTTTTTTATTACTTTTAATTAAGTAATCTTTTTAAAGAAAAAAGATTTTTCATATTTAAAAAAAAATAAAATCCAGCATTATTTTTTTCAGATTACTTTTTTTAAAATCCGATAACTTTATTTAAAACCTGGCCTCATTATTTTTTACCATAAAAATCCAGCCAAGTAATTATAGTTGGTCATTGATGAAGGCAGGGTCTTAATTAAAGAGTGGGTGAGAATTTTTCTCAAATTGAATAAATGGGAAGTTGTGTTGAATGAAAGGTGTAGGATTTTGTTTCCAGATGTTGTAAGCAAAGTTTCTTTGAAAAGTGTTGTATCAAACAGATGAGAATTTCCCCAAACTACAAATAGGGCTTTTCAGAAATAAATAAATTATATTTAAAATAGGTTTTATTCTCAACTTTCAAAACAAATATGAACATAATCTATTTTTTGAAACCAATCCTCAAAATTCCTAATTGAATCATTGCCATTGTGGTGCTTCACTCTCATTTTCTAACTGTTTATTGTCACCAGTATTTGTTCATTGTTACCAGCAGAGACTCAACAATATTGGCAGATGGAAAAAGAGAAAAGATGTGCTTAATTTGATAAAGATTTTTATTGATGAGTTATATGTAATAAATAAACAAATGCAACATTTAAAACAAAAGTTTGATTAGAGATACTATAAAACAAAAATAGCACCTGTGGTGTTCAGGACAAATTATCATAAAAATTTTCAATTCAGGCATCTTTAGCTTGTAAGTGTTTATATATTTCATTTAGCAGTGTAGTAGTGTAATCATTTTTTTTTTCAAATATATTTTTTTTTTATTAACTATAAATGTTGTTATTTTTATGCAGAATAAGATTAGATTTTTACTTGATAAAATTGATTTGTGGTACATTTTTCATTATCTGGTTTTATATCAATTTAGTTTTATATTTTTATATACTTGTTTGCTGTAAATATTTATGATTTTCCTGGTTAATAATATAAATGTAATATATAATTAAAAAGTCTTATTGTTGTTATTGACTTCAACTAAATCTACTAAAAGATTTGTTGAAAGTTGAAATGATTCAACTTTGAAAAATCAAATATTCAATTTAATCGACTATGGGTTTCCAACTACTAATCAACTAATGGTAGATTTAGTCAAGTAATAATCTCAAAACCCGTCGTAATCTTAATTCGTAGCAGTTTAGCAATATTTATACCTAATTAAACCTTTGGTTATGCATTTTATTAATTTTTTTTTTGTTTACTCTATGCTAGTAATTTTCATAAATACTTTCATATAGGGCGGTTCCAAGCTGGCCTGAGGCCCTGGGGCAAATTTAATGTGTAAAGCTTCAAAATCTAAATGTCATCTTTATAATCGGATTAATCGAAGTATGATTGTATAGACTTTTTGATAAAAAAATAGAAAGCAAATATAAATTACTTTATTCTTATTATAATTAATTTAAAAAAAAAATTTATATCTATATTTCGACTAAATTATTTTTTAGTTGATTTCAATAATGTATTAGTCAGTTTAATTGACTTTAGAAAATATATTATTATTAATTGATTTTTTTGACAGAATTATCTAATAGTTGTAACAAAACTAAAAAATATTGCTAATTAGAATATACAAAGAAAAAAGAAAATCAGTATTTTATGTTAATGTTTTTTTAATTGTTTTTTGTCAATCTAGAATTATTTTCTATAAAATAGTTTTTTTGCTTCATAAAAATACTCAATGTTGTAGAAAGTAAAATATATTTGATTTCTATACAATATTTGTATTTAGATATGAAAAGACGGAGTCACAGTGCAAAGGATGACTACACAATTTTTCAAGATGATGTACACAAACGTAGAAAAAATTGTGATCCTAACATTGTAAAAAAATTATTTCACAGACAAACATTTATTAACAGACCAAACACTCATTTTCATTACTCACGTTCTTTTAACTTAAATATTTTTCCGAATTTTACTGTTATAAATGTAGAAAAACCACCATGCTTTTTGCGAAAGTTTTCACCAGATGGGCATCATTTAGTAGCTTTTTCTAGAGATCAAAGTTCTGTTGAAATTTATGAGTTTCAAGGTCCATGTGCTTCTAATGATTATGTTTCTAATGCTTGTAGTGGAAATGAAGATGGTTTGCTCAAGCTGAAAAGCTTATCATTTGATCGTTTCTTCAAGCAAAAAGGTACTGTTACAGTTACCAGCTTTGGTGAACAATTAAACCGTGAATGTAGTTTATTTACTGATGATGGAAAGTATGTAATTGTTGGATCAGCAACAGCACTTGCTGAAGATGTGCACCCTATGTTTTATGATATTTATAGAAATAATGAATCTATTACTCCCAATCAAAGAGCCCCTCTTGAAGATTATGCAATACATATAATAGACTTGTATAAAGGTACCCTTCAAGACACTAGAACATTCAAATGTGATAAAATATATTTGTCTCATAATCAAGGTATTTACTTATATAACGACATACTTGCAGTAATGTCTGTACAACACCAAACAATTCATATATTTCAAGTTACACCAAAAGGTCATTTTATTGATGTGCGTGTTATTGGTCGTTTTTGTTATGACGACGATCAATATACAATAAACAGGTTACCTGAAATACAAAATTTACAACCATACCGTGATAAATGCTTTAACAGTTTAAAACACCGTTTGCTTGTTTACTTATATAATTTTTGTTCAAAAGAGGGTTCAAAAGAGTCTATACGTAGGTATTATCAATATTTTGATCAGTTTAAAAATTTAAGAATGTGGAAAATGCAGCTCTTAGATAAAGAACATTTACTTATAAGATATGCTAGCGAAGAGGTTGTGGCGATGAAGGTTTCTGATCCAAGCTCTCTACCTTCTTTTTATGTTGTATACAACATGGTTTTCACTGAAATTATTGCAGTCTATGAAAATTCCTCTGAATCATTTTTAGAGGTGTTTGAACAATTTAGTGATTACTTTCGAAATGCCATTCCACAACAAATGGTTCAATTTACCTGTTCTACTTCAAGCAATATTCATGCTCGATACAATCAAAGAAGGTTTAAAAGTACTATAGTTAATGCAAAATATGGAGGACCCAAAGAAGCAGTCAAAAAACTTTTAGCACAGCTCCCAATTAGTGCTCAGTCATACAGTAGTAGTCCATATCTTGATTTGTCATTATTCAGTTATGATGATAAATGGATTTCAGTAATGGAGAGACCAAAAGCATGTGGTGATCATCCAATCAGGTATGTTTTTAGTTTCACACACTTAAGTTTAATGCCAGGCTATCTCTTTAAAAATAACAGAGTTTTGTTTGTGATATTTTTAAAAATCTTATTTTATCTCATATTCACAGTATTTATCAAAGGAATGTAATAATACCAATTTATTTCAAGGTTATATTTTGTTTATTTTAAAACCAAATCTATAGGCTGCTCAAAGTGAAATTTATAGACTACTCAAAATGAAATTTTTTTCTATGTGGTCATTTTTATTTAATATATAAAATGCTGTTCAATTTTAAAGAAAAATAAAGATAAAATTTTTTTTAATTGATGTAACCTAACTAAATGGTGAATAAAATATATTTAATAAATAAAGATTTTAGCTCAAAAGTAAATTTTTCAAACAATTTAAAATGAATTTTGATTATGTAGAAGTCATACTGCAAAAATGCAGTTTATAACAAAAATTTTATTTAACAACAAAAAATCTAAACAATTTAGTATTTTTTTAATGTTTTGTAAATAAAATTAATTAATTTATTTTTAAAAATGACGTTTTTAAAAAATCATGTGACTTTAAATCACCTAGTTTAAAAATAATTAGAAAAAAAAGATATAAAAATAAGGAAAAAAGTAATTTTGAAAAAACTTTAATCTATTTAGATTTTATTCAAGAGACACAGGCTTGTTGAAGTACAAAATCTTTGCTGGTGTGCAAGGCCGCAATATGACTCAAGTAGCTCGTAGACTTGTAGCATTTACATACCATCCTTTTTATCCATTTGCAATATCAGTTCAACGCAACAATAATACTGACTATGTAGTTAATTTTCATGTAAGATATTTTACAGGCTCTGCTTTAGATCATGTGTAGTTTACTTTTTAAAAACAACAGAAGTTATTTTTAGTAGAATTTATTGTTGTTGAATTTATAGTTGAAATACAATGAAATTAAATTACTTTGTTGTTCTTTGTTTTCTTAAGGTATTTTTATTTGTTGTATTTATCTATGATATTTTTTATATATTAGACATTATATTTGTTTATAAATAAATTATATTTTTATATAAATATTTTTTGTTGCATAAATAGTTTCGTAAGTTGCAATTTTTAACTAAATTGTTTTGACAAATAAAATTACAGCAAATTAGTTTTCTTTTTTTTTTTTTTATCATTCAGAAAATACATCTGAGTTTTTTTTCTTTTGCTTCTTTTTCTCAAATAACATCATTAAATTTTTGAAAAACTATTTGTATCAACCAACAAGAGATTTGGTTTAGAAATGGGATGCAGTCATTTTCAATTACTACCCATGCATACTTGTATAGTATATTTATACACAAATTTTAATTTATTTATTTTTAGAATACAGTTAGAAAGAAAAATTATCATAATATATTATATGTAGTTAGCAAAAAAATTTTTTAATAAAAAAGGCAAAAGATGTTAAATGATTTTTTTCTAATGAAAATGTTTAATAGATCATTATATTAAGTATTTTTTTTGAAGTTGTTAAATTTTGATAAACTTATAAATATATTTGAAAAGCATTCAATTACTATTGAGCTTAAGGTAAAATTTAGAGCACACCGACCTTTTGTTATTGACTTGTTTGTATTTTTTGTTTGTGTTTACATGCAAGTAAATTCAATCAAATAAAATAAACTTTTGTATTTTTCAGAAAGTAAACAATAAGTTTAATTAAAATAAGTTTTAATTGGCTTAAAATTATGATAAAAATGAAATAAAGTATGAGATTAAAGTATTAAATTAGAAAAGAAACTTAACTATGGATAAATTAGAAAAAGACCTTATCTCACTAAAACAAGAATTAAAATGCTGGGAATCAATGTTTACAAGGAAATATGGAAGAAAACCTTCAAAGGTTTGACTTTCTTTTTTAAAAAATATATATCTAGTTTTTATAAATTAAATTTTTATTAAATGTTAATAAAAATCTCTTTTGTAATGAGTGTCATTCAGATTTTAAAATTTAATTTTTTTATTACTAAATACATTTTGCCTAACTATAACATAACATACTTTTAATATTTTGATATTATGTAATAAAAAATTAAATAAGTTTGTAAGTAAAAAAAAAAAAAAAAATTTTCATATAAAAATAAAAATATAAATATATAAAGAAATATAAAAAATATTTTGGCATCTTTGCATTGCATTTTTCCTTAAGTTTGAAAAATTTGAGTTACAAAACCAAATGTGGTCTTTGTTTAGAAAGATATTGATGAGAGTGCTGCTGAGATAAAAGGTAAGTGCGTCTTTTATTTTTTTATGGAAAGGTAAGTTGGTCTTTAAATTATTTTATTGAGCATAAACATAAAAAAAGTTTTAAATTTTTTTAAATTTAGATTCATACATAGCATATTCAGTTTTAAAAAAAAAGAAGCATGAAAGTGATAAAAAAAGTCCTAACAGTATAGAAGTAAAATTTTTGTTCAAAAAATCTTTTTATTGTCAAACTTATTATCACCTGTTTTTGTATTTTATATGCTGTGTTACACATTATTTATATTTTATATATGCTATATTACACATTTCTTATATATTTCATGCCACACCTCACGTTTTTTAGTCAACAATGAGCAATACATTATTTGAAAACTCAATTAATAAAGAATTGCAACATAAAAATATTTTTTTGAAATGATCCTATTTTTATTGTAAGAAAACCTAACAACTTAATTTGTTGGCTTTACAACTCAAAATTGATTGAATTTCCAGCAAAAAAATGTTTATCTGTTAATTCAGTTCGTATTTCATAGAACAAAATTTCCTTTTTATAAATATTGTGACAATGTTATTTAAATTCTGTTTCCATAGTCTTCAAAGTTTTAATGTTTTATTAACAATATTCTGTTTACTAAGTAGCATTTAGAATAAGAAAAAATTTTAAATCAAGTTCTTGTTATTATGATAAGGGGCTCGTCAAACAAATGGAAACAACCAATAGCTTATATTTATAATAATTCAGCAGTATCAACAGCTGAATTTGGTTCTTTACTATATGAAACTATTTCCAAGGTTCGAGGGATCTAGCTGCCTTATATTTACAAAGTTTTCCAAAAATTTACTATGCTTTCCTAGTTTTTCCCATAATAAAAACATTTATGTTATTTTTGATACTTCAGATTTAGTAAAAAGTATAAGAAACAATTTATGGAGATATAGGATTGATGTTAATGGTGAATTTGTTTCTTGGCAACACACCCAGTCTCTGTACAATTTAGGCAAAGAAAACTGTGTCTCTAGTGCCAAAACTAACAAAAAGTCACTTAGACCTTGGTCCTCTTTTATCTATGAAGGTCAAACTTGCCACTCAAGTTTTTAGTTATCAGGTTGCTTCTGCATTACATTGATGTTCTAATACATATTTACTTCTTTTGAATGTAAAATCAACAGCAAGATTTGTTGAACACACAGATACTTTATTCAGTATAATGAATTCATATAAATTTTATGTAAATAAACCAGCTCATTGTGTTCTAACTTTTAAAAAATAAATGTCATTTACAGTTTTTGCACAATCAACGTGTAGAACATGCAAATTATTTGGAAAAAAATATTGTTCTGTTATTTATTATTAAGAGAACTTTTTATTTCATAAATTTTTAAATGTTTAAATATCTAGCAACAAACTTTATTTATATTAAAAAAGAAACTATTTATGTTAGTTGCAGAAAAGGTCCAACAGGACATCCCAGAATGCAATTTTGACCTATTAACAAGAGTTTTGCAAAGTGGATAGGCTTTAACTTGATTAGTAGATATTTGACTTTTTAATCAAACTTAGTTACTGTGTAACAAAACATTGAAGTACAAATGTCCCTGGAACCTTGCTTAATTTATTTCTTTGCATATCATTCTTGTTTGTCAAGGTTTGTGTTTTGGAGTTGTAATGTTCAGAGAGATTCATATAACAATAAGCAAACATATTGCTTTCTTGATTGTAATAGTCCCCTGAGCTATGGAGAGGAAAATATTTAAATTAAAAACAAACAAAAAAAAAAAAACATGATAAAAAAAATGGTTTTTATTAGAATTAGTAATAAACAAGTTAGTTTTCACTTTCTTTCAAAAATAGATTTTATTATTTTTATTGTATTTAAGAACTCAACTTTTTAAGGTTGTTGGTGGCTTCATTTAAGCAGGCTACTCATATTTATTATGTTTAACATAGTCACAAAGCTCTATCCATTTATTACTGTAGTTACAAAGCTCTATCCATTCATTAACATCCTTTAACACATATCTTAAAAAAAGTAGCTTTGTAGAAATACAAGTTGCTTTAATAGCTGCTCTGTTGTTTTTATTAATAGCACATTTTTTTAAAGCAGTTTTTAAATTCATGTTTAATTAAGCTGAAATCAAAAAATTAGTGAAGTTATGAATATTGATTATTTGAAATCTAGTTTTGATTATTTTTAAAATAAAGTCTAATTTAGCTTTAAATAATTTGTTATTTTTGAGTTAAATTGTTTCAGTTGGTAATCTATGTCTGATTTGTAAAAAAACTCTCACGATTTAAGTTTAAAAGTTTCCTATCAGCAAATAAATATTGTTTGTTACCTTAAGTATTTGAAGATGTACTTGAAAATTTTTATATCTGTTTATTTTATAATTAATAGGTTTTTTTAACTTTATAGTATATTTATTTATATCTATTATTTTTTGAATCTTGATATGTAAATTTTTTTGTTTGTTTTTTGAGCCTATCTTACTTTTTTTTGTGAGTATTTTTTTTTTTGATTTTGTGTTTTTTGTTTTGAAAAATGTTTTTATTCTTTGGTATTTTTAAGAATAATGATGATGTATTTGGAGCAAATCTTTTAAAAAAACCCATTAGTGAAATAAAGCCACAAAAATCATTAAAAATAAAAGATATTCATTATGAAAGAAGACCTATATTTAAAAAAAATAAAATTGTTGAAACAGACAAACTGGAATCTGCTGAAATTGTTTTTGAGGTTAGTTGTATATATATATATTGAAATTTTTGATTTGACAATATACAGTTGTGACTCATGAAAAAAACATTATTTGTACTTTCATGATTAACAAACCCACAAGTTAATAATTTAAGTTTAAATGAAACTTTTTATTTAATTTATTTTTTAATTAAAATTTTATAAAGTATAATATGATTTGGGTGATTGCAATCATGCAAGGCATTAGACAATCATGCAGCTACCCTAGAAATATTGTGTTACTGCAGAAGATCGATTTTTAAACAAGTTGATATTAAAAAGTTTCATGAATAATAGCTTTTTAAGCATGTAGGCGCAACCACATCTAGATTAAATTTAAAAAAAAATTTTCAATCAAAAAATATGATTATATCATTGGCAAATAATTAAAAAATATTTATGTAGGTCAAATAATTAAAAAAAAACTTATGCAGGTCAAATAATTGAAAAATACTTATGTAGGTCAAATAATTGAAAAATACTTATGTATGTCAAAAAATTTAAAAATGCTAATGTATGTCAAATAATTGAAAAATACTTATGTAGGTCAAATGATCTCAAAATACTTTCACTATATATAAATATATTCACTATAGATAGAAAAAAACAAATAAATGTAAACACATCAACTGGTTTCATTTTTAAAACTCTCTTTTAAAAGATAAAAAGTTATTAACTTTGTCAGAACTTTACATACATTGACTGGTTTTGTTTTACATACGTTGATTGGTTTTGTTTTGAGAAAGGTAATTTGTAAATTAGATTAATAATAATGTGCAAACATTTAGGAGCCAACTAAAAATGAGCAACCTGTAATGGCTTTTGAAATTGAAAACAAAATAAATATTCCTGGCGAAAGTATAAACAGGTAAGCAATTATAATAAAAATTTAACAAGTTTAATAGTCATAACTACATAATGGAGAAATAAAAAAATTTATGTTACAACAACAGAATGAGTTTTGAAGTGAGTGTAATGAAACACTGTAATATATGCATTATCAAATTGTTACTTTTATCAAGCTATTCTCTGTTTATTATTTTAAACATTACTTCTACTTGTTTTAGTTTTAAAGTGTTTATAAAAAATATGTGAAATCAATAAATAAAATCAATTCATTAGCAACTGCAACTAAGCTTTTATTTGTCAAGAAACTTCTGTTAATTGCAAAATTCAATTAATATTGAGAAATATTAATTGCTAGGATTTTATATGTAAGCATAACAAAACAAAAGATGTTATGAGTATGCTACTGGAAATTAACTTTTTTCAAATTTCAAAAATTCAAGAAACTAGTAATCCAGAACATTAACAGAATACAACATACAAGTTTGCAAAACATCTTTTATACCCACCTTTTATTACACCAACTGTGCAACTATAAAATTTGTTTTTTAATTTTTTGTTTTGTTTACTTTTTATAATTAAAAAAAGAATTTGTTTATCAAATCTAATTATTGCCCAAATTTTATAATTTACGTTTCCCTTTGAACTCAAAAACATTTTACAAACTTAAAGCTTAAACTGTATTTTGAAAATTTAATTATATTTTGAAATTTAAAATTATCTAATATGGTTTCCTTAAAAAAAAAGGAAAGTTGAATATATAAATGGTATGAAATAAATTGAAACTTTGTGGTTTTGTGGTTTTGTGGTTTTGGCAATCACCGCATCCAATCATTTATAATTTAGGAAATTTTGAATCATGGGTTTTTGAGATATTTTGAAATCATACTTTCTTTTAACTTTTTTGGCTATTACATTTTACAAAGGAAGGTTTACACTCTTTTGGAAATGTCGAGTGGTTACTGAGTGGTTAAATGAACAAGTGATTACTGATATATATCAATTTTATTATTAATTTAGTTTCTCAAAATGACATGGTTTATTGACATTTTTTCTTTAACAATTTATGAAAAACAGTGAAATAGTTATAAAAACAGAAAAACATTTAGAATGCTTTTTGATCCAGAATAAAAAAAAGCATTTAGAATGCTGAAATATAATGGAAGGGGGGGGGGATTCATGCTTTAAAATTAAGAAAACAATTTATATAACATAATTTTGGTGAATAATATTTCAAATCATTTTTGCGTAAAAGTTTTTTTGATCAAAGACTCAGTTAAAGAACAACATTAATTTGTAAAAAGTGGAATTTTATTTGTTTTTAAATATGGGTATAACAAGTTTTGCTAGTAGATATAATAAGTATTAGTGAAATAAAAGGATTTTATTTCACTAATACTTATTTATTATATCTACTAGCAAAACTTGTTATACCCATATTTAAAAACCACTCACCATGTATTTGTACAAGATTTTCAGAGATATGGAGATAATTTTGAGATGAACTACAAGCAATGACACAATACATTATGCAACACTATTGAATTTGACAGCAGATGTTCTAACTTTTCATTGAATTTTTAGATTTGTCCCTAACACTTTTAATTTTTTTGTGGTCCAAGATGCTACACAGAGCTATCTGATATAATAATATTTTAAATAATACTATCTGAATAATATTTTTCAATACCCAATGATATTTTTAACATCTTTATTCTTTACATTCTTTACAAGTATTTTATCATGTTTCTTGCCATAATTAACATAGGGTTATGATAGCATATTTCTTGTTGCTTTATATCAGACAACAAGTTGCAGGAATGTTTGAAACAACCATACTGGAACCAAATACTCATATCAGAAGCCATGTATGAATTTTTGTCATGTATGAATTTCCTCAGGCTCCAGAAGGGCCACTACTATTAAAGGGGCTACTCATTTTTTATTTTATTTTTAAAAAAAAGTTAAAAAAGTACATTAAAGAGTCAAATTTAAAATTGCAATGTGAAAAACAATCAAAAAAAGTATAAAAATGTAATAACTCTATGCAATACTTCAAACTTGCAGAATATAAATGCAAGCTGCACAAAAATCCATAAACTTAAAAACCAACAAAATGCATTTCAAGTTGTTGCTGTCACTGGAATCAGCTAGGAAGAAAGTATCAAATATAAAATATTTGAGGTTGATTCAATGAGTTATTTTCTTAATTTTATCATGTTCGCATCATTCATATTTTATCATGTTCCTATCATTCATATTTTATCATTTTCCCATCATATTTTTGCATTCAAAGTGAATTTTGAATTCTGCATCAAAAAATCATTCTAAAGGTTTTTTTATATTTATATTTTTGATTATTTTGCCTGATTTTTTTTATAAACACAAGTTATATTTTATTCCTTAGAAAATCAATATCAGCATTGAGAAAACGTCAGTCATTGTTTACTAATTACTCAAAGCTCTCAGTTGATTGGTTAAATAACTCCAATGATTTAGCCAATAAAAATGATGAAATACATATGTGTAATGATGAAACAGGTATAAAATGTGCAAGAAATCCATCAGCCAATACACAAAATAATTTTTTCAAATGCAAAGATATATCATCCTCTGGAAATAACTTATTTAATAAAAGTTTTGACCAATCAGATGTTTTTGTTGAAACAAGTTTTAAATCAACTTTTGACCAATCTTTGCTTCATTCAAATGATTCTATTTCTACTATGTCTCCAATAAAAACGGATTCAAATTCAGATTGTTTGTTAGGATTAAAAACAGCAGAATCGATCAGAACAAATGAGTCTGATAGAAAATATACATTAAGATCCAAAAAGAATAACATAAATAGTGAAGTGTGTGACAGGAATATTAGTAATGAATTTTGTGATAGAAATAATTTTGCAAGTCAAAAAAATGGCACAACTAGTGAAGTTTATGACAAAAATGAAAACAGTGAAAAAGTTGAAGAAAAAAAGAAGATTAAAGATTCTGAGTTGCTAAGTAATATAGATAAAAATAAAAAGTTGGAAGAAGAAGTTAAAAAAAATTTCAATCAAAATTTGAATGCTATTGAAAAAAAGGTGAAAAGAAAAAGAACCGAAACAGATGCAGATGAAGAAAATGTTGATCCTAAATCAAAGAAGATTAAAATTAAAAAAGTTAATGCTAAAAGGTATAACTCATTAAAATAAATGTCATCATCATCATCATCATCATCATCATCATCATCATCATCATCATCATCATCATCATCATCATCATCATCATTATCATCATCATCATCATAATCATCATCATCATCATCATCATCTCATCAGCACCATAAACATTTTCATCATCATCATCATTATTATTGTTATCTTCATCATCATCATCATCATCATCATCATCATCATCATCATCATCATCATCATCATCATCATCATTATCATCATCATCACCACCATCATCATCATCATCATCATCATCTCATGATTGCCATTATCATCATCATCATCATCTCATGATTGCCATTATCATCATCATCATCATCATCATCATCATCATCATCATCATCATCATCATCATTGTCAAACAATGTTTGCTATATGTTATTTGTAAAGAAACATAGTTACTAAAATATTAATTGTAAAAAAATTTATTTTTTGAGGTTGGTAAGTGACAATTTTGTAAAAATTGATATAAAAAAAAAGACTTACGTGCGAGCTGTTAAAAAATTAACTGGAGCACAATATAAAAGAAAGCAATGGAAACAAAAAACATCTTTTGAGCAGCCAAGTAAAAAAGGTTGGCAGGTAATTGGCTACAAAAAGACCTGTTTTAAGTGTGGAGGAGAAGGTCACTGGGCAAAATTCTGCCGTGGGTTAAAAAAAGTTGATCCTTTCAGGTTCGTATTTAAAATGTGTGTTTTTTTTGCATAAAGTCATTCTACTCAATTTGTTACAATAATGACAAAAGTTTATAAAATAAATATAAAGAATTATTTTAGAAGAAGTTTGTGTACCTAGGGCCTGATTTTTTTCAATCCCTAAAAATAAGACCCCTGGTTGGTTTAAAATAGTGAATAGTTTGATGACGTCTTTTCAATAATTAATTTCTATTGATATAACTGTGACTTGAAATGTTAAAGTCCATCATGTAAAAGGGTTTGAAAATTAGTTGTTCAAGGTACAATGGGTTTTTTTTTATTGTACCTAGGACATTAGCTTTTGTACCTATGGCCAATCATTGAAACTAGGTTTCACTTAATCAATAGACAAAGAAAAAAGACACATAAGTTTATTGTAAAAAAATATTTTGTAAAAAAACCATTATTTATAACAAATTTTATATTTTCTTTTTGTTGTTGTATAAAGTATTTCTGAATTTGTTGTTTTGGCTCTATTTATCTAAGGTCAAGAGGGATCAAGTTGATGAGTCTACTCAAGTAAAGCAAACATTTAAATGATTACATGTTACATAATCATTAGGGTGTTTATATGTTACATAGTCATTAGGGTGTTTATATGTTACATAGTCATTAGGGTGTTTGTATGTTACATAGTCATTAGGGTGTTTATATGTTACATAGTCATTAGGGTGTATATATGTAGCACAAGTATATAACATCTTTTATATTCTATTACCCATGACCTGACATAATTTTTATGGTAAAATATAAATAATTTTTTGCTGTTTCAAAATTCTCTTTTCCTAAAGGTTTATTAGCCCTAATAAAAAATAAAAGCCCTAATAAAATGTATGTCTAAATCTTAAAAGAAGAAATTGTGAAATATTTTAATTTTTTGAATTTTTGGCTAATTTTCACTGAATACCTAAAGTTTTATATTTTAATGTGTTGATTATTTTATTTTTTTTGAAAATAAGAATTTTTTTTTTTATAACTTTATGTGCCCTTATTAGGTAATACTGGGTCCTTTCTAGTTTTTTATGAAAGTTAAGTAAGGAATCTGGTTTAGGGTTTTTAAAGTATCAAACTAAAGTTATTTTCAGTGTATTTACAATAAAATGTTAGGTCATGGGAATATGTGGCTTCAAAAGCTGTTGCTGTAATAAACATTTAAAAATATTTTAGCAAACTTGATGCAGAAAAGCAGGACTTTGAAAATCTTGAAGACAACAAGCAAAGTTGTTTTACTTTTATGGAAAACAACATAGAAAATGAAGTAAACAATACAAAGAAGAAATTTTCTATGGAAGGTCACTTAAAAATCATATTTTAATATTTTTTTATTTTTTTATTTTTTTGAGATTTTTGTTGTGAGAGTTGTATTTAAACTTTTGTGAGATTTATGGTAGCATGCCACAAGGCTTTGTGAGATTTATAGAGATATAACACAAGGTGAGCTATAATAACCTACCACAAGTTTTTGTGAGATTTATAGTGGTAAAAGATTTTCTATTATAATCAATGTTCTTTTTTTATCATTTATGCATATAAATGATTATTGTGGAAATATCTTTTTCATCACTGTTGGTGATTAGAGTACAGCTAGAATTTTTTTTCATTCTAAAAGCTTAGGAAAAGATGGATTCTTATATAAAATTAAATTTTAAATACAGTTTCCTATATATTTTTGATCTGTCAAAGTTTTGATTACCAAATTTGCACTTTCAGGAAATTAAAAATCTCATTAAAAAAAAATGCCCTTTATTGTATTTTACAAAAAATTGAATGCAAATAATATTTTTAGACAATTGCAAGTTTGCTTGATACTTGTTTAACAGTTATTATTATGTGTAGATCCTATCTGCAGTGCAGATTTTGCACTTTTCAGGTATTTTATTTTTTATAAAGTTTTGTGGTGTTAGTGTTAGCAGTTTCAACAAAAAACAGGTGGTTTATCCCCTATCTTACCCAAAAAATATTTTAATAATACTATTAAAACACTATTAAAAAAAACAATAAACAAGTATGTTGATATTAAAAGCTTAATAAATTTTTTTCTTTTTTTTAAACACAGGTAACAACTCTTTATGTTGAGCTCTAGCTCAACATAGCTAATATACCCATCTCTTGCATCTGGTCCAACTACTGACATAGATGCTACTATCACTTGTTTTACAGCACACTCAGTACTTTGGGTATGAATTTTGAAATAATGAGTTATTAAAGTTGTCATTCTTAGTAATAATAACTTATTTTTAGTAAGCGAACAAATAAAAACAGGTTCTTGTACTTCTTCGTTTTTCCATTTAACTAGCTCTTAAAGAGCAGTTGCTGCAAAGTTCAGTTAAGGTATTTTTCTTGGTTGAATTTGCATATCTCTAAGGATATTATTACCCCTTTGTTTCAAAATATGGTCAACTGCAAAGTTGCGGTCTTCTGCATTGTTACTGGATAACAAAGAGATTAAAATACTTTCATGGTTTGCATACCAAGCTCCTAATTGGATGTAGGGAGTCACAATTTCTTTTCAGGTTGATTTCTGAGAATTCTCAATTGAGAAAAAATGTGATAAAGAACATTTTCAAGTTTGTCCTTTACTTTACCTTTACCTTTAAGTTTGTCAAATAAAAGTTTTGAGTAAAATTGTAAACAAAATAAGACAAGTAGAATTAGATTCTTCAAAGTAGGATCTAGATTCTTCAAATTCTGCTCAGTTAAGTCATTTTTCTTTGTTCACATAAAAACTATTTTCATGCCAGTAGTGAGCCATCTGGCATGACTTAAGGGGTCACATTTAATTTCTCATAGATTAGGTAACTCACCAATCCTAACTGCTTTACATAGCTTGTAGGATTGTTTTTGATCTGTTGATATATTTTTTAGTATTGTTTCTAGAATGTCAACAGA